TATTCTTCCTTGCAGCAAAGAAAAGCAAGCAGACCTTCTAGGCAGGACCACAGGAACAATCAGGGCCTTTGTGAAATCACAATCAAAGCAGCTCCAGCAGTCTCAAGTGGTAATATGGGAGAATGCCACCTTTTCCACGGGACTTCCAATTCTAGTTAGCAACAGCCCCTAGCTACACTGAAATCTGTCAGCATCACAGTCCTTCTGCTGGGCCATCAGGTCAGCATACCTCCAAGAGAAATGAGACTTCCTGTTGTCTAGCCCCTTCTAAATGAGGCAAGTTTTAGAAATCTAGTGTGGTTTCAATGGTTCCTCAGGGTAGAACCGTGATTGCAAATACCAGCTTACAGGTGCACGCATCCATGGATTCCAGCATGTTTCTATTCCCAGAAAATGGATACGGGGGGCATGTTGCCCGCCTTTCCTTTATGGAAAATGGGTATAATAGGATACATCCATTTTTCATCTCATAAGGGTAAGGGGGATGCCTGATGATAGTTCAGAAATTGACAATTACCATAGCCAACATGAATAACAAAAAAAAAAAATTATTCTGGGTCTTAGTTTTTGAATGTGCTATTTTGGTGCCATTGGTTTCTTTGGTTTGGATGTCTTTTTAAATGCCATTCTTTTTCCTTGGTAAGGAGTCCTTGAAACATTTGTCAGTGACACAAATGGTATTTGACTTACATCAAACTTCAAATACTGGGTTCATAAGAGCAAAATGTTTGGTTTAGTTTTACAAATAACTTAGAGGCAAAATTATGAATAGATTGACTTGGCAACTACTTAGAGATATTTTTTAAATTGTATTTTTAGCAGACCTAAAATTGGTGAAGGCCATTAATGAGAATTTAATTCCAGAGAAAAACAGGAAATGACTTATATACTTTCCTTTAAAAAAATACAAATCAATTAGATAAGAGGGTAACAATGAAAGAGTAATTAGGTATGGTCTTAGTCCATAATTAATATTTTATAGTATACAACTATGGTAACTCTGTTTTAAAATTATATTAGAATGAGTATAAAGATCATTAACATTATATACAGGAAATCCATTAAAATATAGTTGTTAAGGTTTCTACCTTTCCTTTTATGTGATGGGGTGTAAAAAGATGAAAGGATAAGCTTTTGTGTTTACATCTGGAGTATAAAAGAGGCTCGGTATGAGCAAAGGACATTCCATGAAATACTATGTCAGAAGCATTCTCAGTCAGAATTCCAGGAATAGCAAGATGTTAAATAGATAATTAAAATGTCTTCAAGGTTTAAGCCACGGGGACCTAGAGTTTTAATCATGTGGTGTACATCCATCAGAAGTTTTCTCTTTTATCTACAACATCAGATTTTGATGCTGTCTTTGGGGAAGGGAAACCATGCTCTGGGTTTCTCAAATGCATTGGTTTTATAGGCACTGATATTTTGATTTTAGCATGCCTAACTCAAAATACTCAAAATAGCTATCATTGTTTTCAGTGGCTGCCAAAAGGAATCTGTAAGTGTGGCTTCCAAAATACAGTGGACTTCTCTGGTTCTTATAAAATTAAAAGCCGTTAAGAACACTGCTGTCCATAGTCCAACAATGATGTTACACACAGATCCTTTAGTTCATTTTTGGGAGAATAAAAAGAAATGAAGAACAAGCTATTCACAGTCAGTTTTAAAACTAATCCTAAAGAATCTATTTTTGAAGACTATAATCAAAATGCTACTTATTAATATCAGCCCCTTTAAAAAGCATTATTTTGGCGGCAAGATTCCCATTGGATTGAAGGGGGGGGTATAACCTAACTTGGTGAGGAAGTATTTCCTTATAATTTCTTATATTATTTCTCATATATTATAATATATAATATATTATTTTAATATTATATCTTATATATTGTAATTATATTATACTTACTCTATTATATAATTCCTTACAAAAGAAGGTGCAATGATAGAAAACAATCCTCTGAGTTTCCCCTATTTCTTACCTGTATTTGTTTCTTTTTTTTTTAATTCAACCTACCCAGAAAGCATCAGTGACAATCCTTGATAGTTAGGTCCAAAATAATAAGGGACAGAAAGAAATGTTTAGCATGAATTCAGATATTAAAACACATACTACCTTCAGTAAGATTTTAGGCCCAGTCTTAAACTTATACACACACATACATACATGTATACACACCCATGGGCACTTGCTATTAAGTCTATATTGATGGCTATATATAGAAATTAAATATATTAATGGTTTTTAATTTAAACAAAATCTTCGAAACAGCTGTCACAATGAGTGTGCTGTTTTTTAATACCAAAACAAAATAAATACATACAGGCTGGAAGTCTTAAGCTGCTTCTAAGAATGAAATGGATCATTCATACTCTAAATGTTCAGTATGTACACTGTAAATTGAATTTAAAATCACCCATTAGTATTCTTGCTAATATAAAGTCAATTAAAATAATAGAATATGTCATGGCAGGTCATTGGAGCCCATCAACGCTTTGCAGATTCCGTAAAGCAGAGAAGCATTCAAGTTGCCCCCTGTACACACTGCCACTAGATGAAGGAAACATTGGGACGAACATCAATAATGCTTTACTGAAAATGGTTTTATTCACAAATGGGATTTAACTAGGAGAACAGAAGACACTTTATACTCACATTTAATTGCTTCAACATACGTGCAGGTGTTGAAAATGTGCTATTTCATAAATTGGTATGCAATAAGGAGAGTGGGTTTTGGTGAGCTGCCATACACAATTTCCCCTCTTTTTACCAAGAGAAGGAGGGTAGTATTTTTTCATCCCAGGAATGAAATATGAATTAATTGTTTTAAAGCTTCACCCTGAATTAAAACCGATTTTTTGAAAAGCAAATAACATGGGTGGAGTGTCAGACTTAGAAAATGTGCAATGTTATTTGATCAAAAAATTAAGTTAACAATGGAGTTTTGATGAAAATTAGATTCAAATTGTTATATTAAGCTGATTCTATAAAATGTGACAATACACTAACAACAGCATAAGTATTACAGTGCTAAGCATTTTGGGAAGTTAGATTTATAATAATACAAGTAATTACAGGAAGGAAGGCAAATCGAAGTAGCATTTTTTTGTCACGGGGAGAGATTTGTTTACCCGAGCTCATAGAATGGAAAATGTCAGATATCAAATTGAAATGATGTCAGGGTAACAAGGGCAGATACAAAGGTCCAAGTAACTATTACTTGTCTAAGATGGACTGATGCATTTTAACATATACAAAGAAAGCTATTATTTCTGAACTCATAAGAAAAAATAATTCTTATCAAATCACATAGCTTAGAGTCAAACTGGAGCACTTTTGGACGTAAAAGCTGTATTTCTTTGCTCATGTCTGTCAAAAGCAATACTGTTTTATTTTGATTTGTGATTCTACACCTTTGGCAAATCAGGTTTTGTAACGTCATGTGTCTTAGCACATAAACAATGGCACCCGGTCCCAGATAATCATCTCCTCCTTCACCTCTATACATGATTGGGCCTCCTCTGGGCTTTCTAATATCAGGAAATGTACATTAATTTAAATACCTCTGTCCAGAGTGCAAATAATTCTTTGCAAAGCTCTTTTAACATCTCTCTCAGCATGAAGTCTGGCCTGGATCTTTCTAAAACATTTTGGGCATAATTTGGAAATCATTAAGAAAAAACAACATCATTGCGAGGTTTTTCCTTTAAGGAACATAGAATTAATGTTTCTAATGGTAACTATATCCAAACAAATACAACTTACGTTTCGTTTGGGTTTGGGGTATTACAATTATAGTAGACCTTTCGAACCCAGATATTTATGGGAGTTTCTTAGTCCACTTCCAATTAATTTCTAGTTTAGTATGCATTAGACGTATGAGATAGCATCTCCATGCATAGACTTTTTTCAATTCATTGCAATCACCTTTTATTTTAAAAAGAACAACTAAGTTATTAAGCTGGATTCAACTAGTGTTCAAAAAAATTGGTTTGACGGAATTTAACTTTTCTCATGTTGCCTCAAACCTATCTTTCATAAACAAATTTATTGTGACAGGTATTTTTTCTCCTTGTATTACTCAGCTAAATCCATTTTGGAATAAACATTACCCTGCAAAATTCTAACCATTCCTATTCATGACAAAAATATATATAGATGTATTATCCATTAATCTCAAGAAATCAGGAAATTCAGATAACTAAATTTGAATATTTTAAAACCCAAGCTCATTCATATCAATCAGACATAATTTTTATTTTGCCTTTTTGAGAAATGATCTAAATACTCAATCATTTAGGAAAGGAGATTATAATTAAAATAGTGTATAATTTAATGTTAATCAGAAATTATATGATGTACAGTAGCAGCAAAAAAGATTCCAATGGCTTTCTCATACCAGAAGCGAAAGGGAGAACGGTCTTTTAATAAAAGGATATTTTGCCTGGTAGGGAAAAGATTGTTAGCTGTAAAAAGGAACCTTTTAAACTAATATGATGAGGTGCATGTAAAAATTAATATTATGCTCTAATGTTCTCTCCAGTGAGTAACCCAGGTTGATTTATTCATTTAGGTAATTATGTTCAGCAATATTAGTAATTCACAGTTAAATTGAATTTGGAGAACGCACAATAAATGGAAACTGTAGTCATATTTCTTTCTCACTGTGTAACAAACAGAGATGTATTGATGTAAGTTCTGAGTGTACAACATAAGTTAAATTCCCCAGACTGCAATTTGATCAAAAAGCATTAGACATTTACTTAGGCTGTATTAGGTCACTGCCGTTGGAGGGCAGTAAAATTCTACATCAATCACTTTAAGCAAAGTGAAGCTAGGAAAATAATGGGACTTTTCTTTTATTATTTAACAGCAGAATGCTGATTTAAAAGGCAAAGCTCAGGGGGTTATGGCTATTGTAGCAATACCAACTAGTGTTTTTTTTTTTTAACTGTTTTGTTTTTCTTTCCAGTTTAAAGGGACATGGATTTTTGGAACAGTTAAGGTCTTTTATCTCACCAGAAGGAAAATTTTGCCTCTTTTTAAAAGGAAAATAATGAAAAAGGTATGATTCCTTTTAACAGTGAGTAATAAAAGTATATTATAAATATACATGATGTAAAGTACCAGGATGTTACTGATGCTTGCTTACCAGGGAAATTTACCCAGAAAGTAACCTTCTTTTACTTTGTGATTACGTTTAGACCTATAGAAGCGTTCCATCCCTAATAGCTTGTTTCAAAGCACAATGTAAACATTGTGATGTGTAAAATAGAAAGGACTTGTTTTTTTCATTTTCTGAAAATAGCAATTTCAAAATACATAGGAAATACCATTGAAATGAGACTTTGAGCAGAGTAAGATTTGCTAAGGAGGTCTGTAAAGGGGAGGCTGTAAAATCAGGACACTAGATCAACATTTGGGTATTGGGAATTTTAGGACAATCTCAGGTTGGGGTTAATTTGGGGAATCTTACAAAAGGCACACATGCTCATAATCCTAGGGGCAGGGGAGGCCTTTGTAGCCCTAAAAATGTGTTAGGTTTTCCGCATGGAATTTAAAGACAATAGTGATTGTTCTTAGAGCAAATTAAATGATAGATGTGCTATATAAGCAGTGATGTAAAGACATGTATAGGCTCACATCCCTCTCCCTTCATTTAGAGTTTTATTTGACTATGAAGTTGGTAAGTTCAATTACGATTTATTTGGTCATAAAATGAACCAATTGTTTCCAGAAAATATTCAGGGTGGTCTGACACAATCTGAGGGCTATTAATCAGGATTTCCTGGGATCAAACCACAGACGCCCAACCATTTATTCTCTCACTCACTTTATGTTTAAAGTCTATTAGAAGTTTATAGTCTTTCAAAGATCATATTAGGCATTAAAATTCAGGCATCTCATTCTTGTAACAAAGATTGTGAGAAGAAAAGAAAACAAATGGGTTTTCATGAATCTATTCTCATCATGAGGAGTGTAAAAAGCATGCACAGTGGAACAATATTCATTTATTTTTACGACAATGCTTGTGAAGAGAGAGAGGAGGAAGTAAAATAAACCAAGGGATATGGAGTATTATTACATCAATGCACAGGGAGTTAGCAAGGTGGGAGGAGAGAAATACCTCAATGTAGAGGAGAACATATTTAACTAGTGATTTTTTTTGAGATTTGCGTTTTTCATAGGGCCTGTATTTCTATGTTTTGTGGGCTTATTTCTGCACTCAGACATTTCATTTGACACCTGCTTAAAATTTGACTTCTCAGGTAAAAAAAAAATTCACCTAAATGCATATTGCTTATTTAAAAAACAATTTCATTTAGGTGCTGGCTGATATACTTCTAGGACACCACATTTTTATACGCAAATTTCAGACCACAAGCATCTACATATTTTCTGATACTTAAATATTTAGTGCGGTTCTTTTTTTTTATGTGTGTATATACACATATATACATACATATATGTAATATACATAGATATGTGTATATTTTTCTATGTGCTTATGTATATAAACATATGTAATCTGAATCATGTATTAAAATATCCACTCTTAATTTGAATGTTTTGGCTTTGTATTTCTTGCCAAAAACCTCCATCTGATCTTCACCCCCACACATATTTTCACAGGTATGAAACCTGTGCATAAAAACATTTACTCCTATTTTACTTTTTCAAGATAATAATAATAAAGCAATACATAATGTTTTCAAAGTAAAGAGGAAGAAGCTACTTTTTAACCAAGAAATGATTGTATTCAAAATTAAGTATATTTGAGTAATACGCATTTAATAAGTAGTACTATGTAGACACGGTATACACCTATTTGATATAAATATTAGTTACTTAGTTAGTTGCAATAGTAGTAATGTTGACTGATAAAAGCATAGAAGATGTCTATTTTATAGTGTAAATGTTAGTGCCAGGCTGAGTCTTAGAGATGTAGAAATTTATTCAATTTGATAGCATTAAAAAGTTGGTTCTGGGAATTAACATTTACTCCCTCCCTTTTCACACGAATTAAAAAGTTTTTTTTTTCTTAAATATCAGTAAACATTTTCTGCTATCAACAATAGAAATAAATTATTCTAAAATCACTACAATCCATGCAAATTCAACACAACATCAAAGTGAAGAATGAAATATGAATCTAATCAGGCCTGTATTTGTTATGTCACCATTTCAAGTTGGAACAGGATATATTCATGAAAATGTATATGTATATATATTGAGCATTCCTAAGGTCACTTGCGCTGACTAAGCATTTGAAAGTACAGATCAAATATTTTATTAGATCTTTATTCTCAAAGCACATAACACATAATAAAGGAGTTAAGCCAAAACAACATGTAGTCATCATTAATGTATATTTTACCTTTGCTGATTGTGAATCTGTGAGGTACAGGAGGAAAAATGGATCATTCATGGGTTGACTTTTTGGAAAGTGAATGGAGACACATAGGGCCAAAGCCTGTGTTTAGGAAGTTTATTTAAAGCCATGACTTAAAGGATTATGTAGTTAAGTAGTAAGTCTGTTTGTCATGAATCAGGTCTAAGTATTTTTTCCCCCACCTAGAGTACAGCATGAATGAATGGCAGTTAGAGTTGGGTTGGGGTGAGGTGGTAGGATTTATTAAATGAGAAGTATAAGTTAAGGACTGGGGATATGAATAGAAAACAAAACAGCATCTTCTTTCAAATTACCTAAAGGAAAGTTCAGCTGCAAATCAGACAGGACCAGGGATTCTTAGAGTGCAAAAGCAAGACCATGCATTTTCTTTAAAGCCATTTCCATGGGTAAAAAGTGTGTGTGTGTGTGTGTGTGTGTGTGTGTGTGTGTGTGTGTGTGTGTATCAGTTGCTGTTCTAGAAGCACTTTATAGATTGGATGGTGTCTGTGGGAACTGAACTGGACTGGCAGTAAGGTTGATGTGGTGATCTTAGTGTGTTGAGTAGGGGACATTGCTTTTTCCAGAACTTTCTGAGTTTTCCAATATGTTATCGTTAGCTACTCATCATTTGGTGGTGTTCATGATGATGGGGATGGTGGGCCTTATTTCTCCAAGAGTGGTTCCCATTGATTATGGCTGTTGGATCTAGGTTAGACGCAAGTTTCAATAGAAAGAACGCTATTTTAGAGTCAGAAGCCCTGAGTTCAAGTCCCTGTTCTCTCATGTATTTGGAAGCCATGAGGCATGGTAGCTGTCACAGGGATTAAATGAACTAGGAGATAAAAGAGCTTGGTAAATCTTAAGTCACCATATGAATGGCAGGTATGATTCTGTCACTGATCTTGTTATTAAACTCGATCTCCTAAGTCTCTACTCATTTGTAAAAAAGAAAAAGAAAAGAAAGAATTATATCTATCTGTTTTCAAAGGAAAGAAACTATCAGCAACACATGAAACACCACCCCAAATTGCTAATAATTATTGTTGTTGTTGTTCAGTCATGTCCTACTCTCCATGACCCCATTTGGAGCTTTCTTGATAAAGGTATTAGAGTGGGTTGCCATTTCTTTCTCCCACTAATAACTAAAAAAATAAATCAAAACATCTCTAAAGTTTTGCCTTATACCCACTGGATGAGCAAAGATGACAAAAGAAAAAAAGGCACAATGCTAGTGGGCCTGTGGGGAAAAAAAAGCAAACTACTATATTGTTACTTGAGCTGTGAATGGTTTAGCCATTCTGGAAAGTTTGATCCAGCAATACTGCTACTGGAACTATACCCTAAAAAAAGACATGTTAGAAAGAAGAAAAGGATCTATATGTTCAAGAAAGATTTATAAAAAGTCCTTTCATAGTAGCCCTTAAATGTAAACTAAAGTGTTCCCTCCTATTGAGGAATAGCTAAACAAATTATAGCATATGCATGTGATGGAATAGCCTTGTATCATAAAAAAATGATGAAATGAACAGTTTCAGTGCTCTATGAACTGATGCAGAATAACTGCAATGCCAACATTACAAAAATGATTTTGAAAGACTTTAGAATTCTTATTTATGTAGTGATAAACCTAAGATGTACTAAAGATGATTTCCTGCCAGAGAAGATGAACTTAAAATGCAGAAATAGACATATATTTTGAGGCATGACCAATGTATTAATTTGTTTGACTGGACCATTCACACTTGTTATGAGGGTTTTACTATTTTCATTCAACAAGATTTAGAGAGAGGGAGAAATAATAAATGATTATAAAATAAATAGATTTAAAAATTATTCTATCTACCCTATGCATTGTATTTACCTTATAATGTTGTTGTGAGGATTCAAAGAAGTGCTATTGCGGAAATAGCTTTTTTTCAACTTTAAAGGACCATATAAAGGTAATTTTTAATAAATGGAACATTAGTGTCAAAATATATTTATTGTAAGAGCAACTGCCTATAATGAGTTCTCAGGGTGGATAGAGCTGGTACCAGAAGATGGCCAAGGGTCTCTTTTACTTCCTCTGGTTAAGAAACCTCCCACAGTGGGGGAAGATTTAGGATGGGCTTTCAAGGAGAAAAGGATGGAATTTGTTGACTCAAATTGGAAAGATAAGTGGCAGGTTCAACATTTTGCAGCCCTTATGCACAACAACTTGGAACTCACCATTTATAAGTTAACAAAACAAATAAAAAAAACAGATATGTCAAAAACTGAAATATGTATTCAAATGAATATAGCATAATAATTTAAACAGAAATTACTTATTATTCTATTTAATTTACAAATTATTTTACATTTTAATTTGCTTTGATAATAAAGTATAACATGTCCTTAATTTTGCTTTTCCCCCCTGTTTTAAATTAAAACATAAAAGGCAGTGCAACAAAATAGATAGAGAGCTAGCCTACATGTCAGGATGATCTAGATTTGTCCTGCCCCTACTGCAAACTCACTATGTGACCATGGACTAATCTCTTAACTGACAGGGACTCAAAGATTCTCTAAGACTATAAGTATAGATAAGTTGCTGATCTTTATCAGTGAATTACCTCACCTGAAGATTTTCATACAGACAAATAAGAGATCTGTATTTCATAAAGGAAAAAGCATAACTGTAAAAAAAAATG